GTGTATGTCTCGAGATCATGACTTGAGTCAAAACCAAGAGTTGGGTGCTTAACCAACTGAGCCACTCAGACACCCCAAGAAGTCCAATAAAACTCTTCTCCTTCTTCCTCTGTAGGTAAAGTATTTTCCCCCTTGGCTTCTTTCAAGATTTTCTCTTTATTTTTGTTTTTGTGCAGTTTGAATGTGACACGCGTAGGTACAGATTTGTGTGTCTGTATTCTTCTATTTATATGAAATTCTTTACAGTACAAACTGATCTATAGTGATAGAAAGCAGCTGAGTAGCTCCCTGGGGACCAGAGGTGGTGGGTGAGTGAAGGTCAGGAAAGATGGATCGATCACAAAGAAGCATGAAGAAAGTGTTAGGAATGATGGATGTATTCATTATCTTGATTGAAGTGATAGTTTCATGGGCATATATTGTACGTCAAAAATCATGAAATTGTATGCTTTCAAGTAAGTGCAATTTATTGCATGTCAATTGCATCTCAAAAAATTTAAAACTTTTTTTTTTTACATGAGGAAAGACAGTGAGAATTGATAAAAGCATTGAGCATGGAGGTCTGAGAGGTCTGCCATTAAATTAACCATTTACTTGATATACGGTTGTGGGCAACTGATTTAAGTCCTCTGAATTAAAGCATCCTTCTCTGTAAAATGGATATTGTATCACTTCAGGTTTTGTTCATATATCTCAAAGCTCAGCAAAGGCTGAAATGGTTAGGCGTGTATTTGTCTTCTGGACAAGAATTTTGCATGTAGGCTGTCCAGAGCTGGCGTGGAGGATCAGTGACGTCACTGAGAAACCAACCTCCTTCAGCTTCCTTAGTGGCAGCTGCTGTTTCTCAAAACTTGTATTTTCTAGCAGTATGAGGGAGGAAGGGGAAAAGGCACCATCAGCTGGCCTCTTCCCATGATTCATAGCTGAGTCTCATACCTACCCATAGCTGAGAAAGGGTCTGGGAAGGCAAGTTTTTGTTCTCTAGACACTCTAGCACATAAGGGGGAGCAAAAAGGGGTTGGACTGGGTGTTGAAGGGTCCACCTTACACTAAGCGTACATACACATAACATACAAACAAGAAAAATCATGTTGCTATTTGTTTTCTAATGCCCCAGAAGGCCTAATCTGATCAGAGTTAGTCAGTGGTCTCTAATGCAAGTGCCATTATAATGCCATACCAAAATTCTTAGCTAATGGGACCTTGGCATATTAATATGCAGAATAGTAGAAACTGTGTTAACACCATGGGCTGTCCCAGATTTATTCCATCTGTTAAACTCGTAAGCCTGGAGGCAGAAGAGCTTCTACACAGTACTTCCCACTGGTGACAAGGTATTAGCAGAATTCCTAGGAAAGTGTTTGTCAGGTCACCCTAAGAGTCAAGGAATCCCAACATCAGCAAATTGGATAGAACTATGATAGCAATATGCATATGAACCTAGAGAAAAGGCTTAATGTCAGGTCTTCATACAGGCCTTTATGAGCCATTCAACCCGAGGTGTCCCTTTGTACCACGGTAGTGCTTTCTTTCATTATCACATTGCATTTTCTGAAGTGCTCCTGAGATTGTTTATTGTCCGTCTCCTTCCCCAACTTCGAAAACTTAATTCCATAAGAGCAAGGACGTTTTGTGTCTTAGTCACAGCTATACATCTAGATTCTTAAAAAGTATTTGCCCTGTGATAAATATTTGAAATAAACCTTTTGAATGCCCCTTTAAAAATTTTTTTAATGTTTATTTATTTTTGAGAGAGACACACACACACAGAGTGTGAGCAGGGGAGGGGCAGAGAGAGAGGGAGACAAAGAATAAAAAGCAGGAACAAGGCTCTGAGCTGTCAGCACAGAGCCCACTGCAGGGCTTGAACTCACAAACTACAAGATCATGACCTGAGCCAAAGTCAGATGCTTAACCAACTGAGCCATCCAGGCTCTCCTTGAATGCCCTTTCATTCACTTATATATAGTTATCCTCTCCCATCTAGTTAACTCGCATCACCTCACATATTTTTCTTCCTCTTTGTGAGAACATTTAAATTCTACCCTCTTTGTAAATGTCATTGTACAATACAGTGTGTTATACTCTATAGTTACTATGTTATACATGAGGTCTTCAAACCTTTTTCATCTTATAGCTGAAAGTTTGTGCTCTTTTACCACATATTATACCACATATCATATATGTTGTTTAAATATCATAGAGATCACATGGTACCCACTTTTTGCTCTGTCTTTCAAATCTTTATCAAATATCAAAATTAGTATTTTGACCTAAATCCTGGGAATGAATCTGGGAGAAAGTTTTGTGAATTGTTGAAGTGTACGTAAAAGAAAATTAGATTTTAAAGAAATAATCTTCTAAGCATGTTTGATCCACATTAAAGCTAATGTTTTAGGTATAGAATGCATTACTTTTTTAAAAACCAAGTGATCAAGCTGTTGATTTGATTTTTAAATTTACACTTAACTAAGGCTTTTTAAATTGGCATGTTGCAGTCTGTTACGTGGGATGTCTCTTTGAGTGTGTTCATGTATGTAACCACAAAGAGGCAAGATTGTGCTATTTCATTTGTGCAAAGATGTGCGTACCTAAACCCAATGAGAAACATGAAATCTCTAAAAACAGTTTTCTGCAGCCAATATGTCATTGCCAATACTCCCAGCTTCATAATTATTGGGAAGTTTCTCTTCTGTTTTCATTTCATTTCATTTTTTCTGTTTTTCATAATCTGAAAAATTGGGGGGCATAGTCTACATTCAGACAGCTGTATTTAGTTATTTTGTCATGTGAATCTTCACTATAATATGGCATTAGAACACATCTTCAAGGTCATTCGGTTCTGACCTCATATTGGTCTTTAGCGTTTAGTTGAGATGTTCTAATACTAAGGAGCCAACCCATTGACAAAACTTATGAAGGCTCCACTAGAGGGCAGCAAAGTGAAAACCAAATTAAAATTTGCCAACAGAAAGGCTGATGGCATAAAAAAAATTTTGTTGCAAATAAGATTTCATACATGCAAAAAAAAAATAAAATTAATTCAGTGTTGTAAAATAATTTATATGCAAAATTTCCCCCTTTCTTGGAAGTAGTGGTCCAAAGACTCACTAGGTTGAAGAGCAAAGTGAGAATAGAATTGTTCTTAATCCCACCTCTGGCACTAATTGTGCCATTTGAGACAGTCTATAGTTTGCCTATCTGGTCCTATTCTATAATATCGGGTTTGCACAAAATAATTCTTAAAATTCTTTTCAACTCTAAAATCTCACGGTTTTATGATTTATGATTATATTTTAATCATTTTAATGTCTTGCTGATTAGGCTCTTAACATTGTTTGACCATCATAACTAGATATTAGTGGAGATTCTGTTTGGAAACACTCACCATTATATCATGGAAAATTTAGGTTACTGAAATATGTTGATGTTACCTTAATAAAATGACACATCTGCCCCGAATTATTATTTGTATATAATCTCGTGACAATAGTGATTGCAATGTCTTCCGGAATAAGGTTTTGCTATTTAAACCGTCAGTGCAATCTTGTGAGGTTCTTTTTTAAGTTTATTTATTTATTTTGAGAGAGAGAGAGAATCCCAAGCAGGATCCACACTGTCATTACAGACCCCATTGAAACATGAGATCATAATCTGAGCTGAAACCAAGAGTCAGACAATTAACCAACTATGTCCCCCAGGTACCCTGTTTTTATTAAGAGGAAAAAAAAAGCAAAGGTGTCTGGGTAGCTTAGTTTGGGTGGCTTAGTTGGTTGAGCATCCCACTTAGGATCATGATCATGATCTCGCAGATATCGATTTTGAGCCCCAAGTTGGGCTTTGTGCTGACAGCTCAGAGCCTGGAGGCTCCTTCAGATTCTTTGTCTCCCTCTCTCTCTGCCCCTCCCGGCTCTTGCTCTCTCTGTCTCAAAAGTAAACAGACTTTTTTTTTAAAGCAACAAAATAAAGTCCCACAATGATGTATTTGGATGTATGCATAAGAAAGCAAGAAATGTGGCTTGTTTGGCATCTGAGCAAGGGAGGAAAATCATCCTTTAAAACATAACAAACTTATTATATTAGAAGCCAGAGGTAGAACACTATTAGAAGTGTGTTCTAGACTCCCTCCCCTGGCACATTAGCTCAGCTGGGGCCAATTAGGCTAGTACTCCCTTTTCTACTACTCAGAGGCTAGTTAGCATCTTCCTCAGACAGAGTCTTAGACATTAACATGAGGTAATAAATTGCTCCTTTCAACCAATTTGCTTTTCCACTAGGGGGTGAGGCTGTGAAGAGACCCCAGACTCAGGATCAAAGATTTCAGATATAAGTTGCAGTCCCACAAGAGTAATGAGATGTACCCTTCAGCTGTTGGTATTACTTCCAGAAAGTAATGAGTAAAACACTGATTGCCTCCGTGCAAATCCTGACTCGACTCTATATTCTGTGCCTGGGGACAACTGTGCCTTTCAGGTTTTAAAAATTAATACTTGTAAAAACTATTATCATTTTAGCTTGGAATATTAAAATGGCTTCATTTTTTCCGGTGGTTTTCCAGCAAGATGTTGCTAAAAGTATCAGGTTGGAGCTTCTATTAATAACTCACTGTTGACCTTTAACAAGTTGTTTCACCTCTTTTGGCCTCAAGTTTTTCACCAGAGTCTTAAACAATGCTGCAAAAGTAATGCACGCTCTAAGATGGTCTCAATGGATGTCGTGAAATAAACAAACTTCAATATGAGGAGGTTGAAGCAAAAAGATCACCAGAGCACCCTCTAGTTTTAACACTTCCTGTGATTCATTATCTCCCAATAGGTCCGTGGGGGTACATGAAATGAAATTGCCTGTCCATATGAGGAAACACTACTGCAGAACACCATACCATTTGCTGAAGCAAATTTTTAAGGTATTTACACAAAATATTACATTCTTTATTGTGATAATTAATCCAGCAACATATGTGCCAATATTGGACTGACCAAAGGCCTGAGTTAGAAGAATAAATACACTTTCATTTTGTCCGAGGCGGCTGTCCGTGTCCGAGCCCCCAGCGCGCCGGGCGCGCCCCGAGGGGACGCTCTGGGGCCCGGGCGGCCTCAGGGCAGCAGCAGGGAGCCCAGCAGCAGCTCGCCCTGGCCCCGCTGGCCGCCCCGCTCCAGGCCGCGACCCCGCGGCTCGGCCTGGACCCGCACGGCCAGGCGGCGCACCTGGTCCTCCGACAGTCCGTCCACGCACAGGTCCTGGTCGAAGGCGGCCTTGCGGCTCCGCGGGACCACGGCGCTGCGCTGCGAGCGCGTCTGGCCCGGCGGCCGCAGGACGAAGCTGACGCGGCAGCCGACGGCGGGCGACGCGGCGGTCCCCGCGGCCGGGCCCTCGGCGCCCAGCAGCCGGACGCGGAGCCGCCCGCTGGCGCGGCTGTACTCGGCGGCCAGGCGCAGGGCGCCCCCGGCGCGGCCCAGGCCCACGGTGCCCTCGGCCTCCAGGCGCTCGGGCCGCGGGCCGGCGCAGGGCAGCGGCGGCGGTGGGGACGCGGACGCGGCCTGGGGCCCGGGCCCCGAGACGGCGCCGCGCTCCTCGTCCTCGTCGCCGTCGCCGCTGGACACGGAGCGGGCGCGGGCCGGGCCTCGGCTCCTCCGGGCCCGCAGCGCGCGGCGCAGCAGCCCTTGCGGCGCGCGCAGGAGGCGGCGGGCGCGGAGCGGCGGGGCGGGCGCGTCCGGGGGCGCGCGGGGGCCCGCGGGGAGCGCGGGGGCGGAGGCGGGAGCTGCGTCCCGGGGCGCGAGCGGGGCGGCGGCGGGGCCCCCGAGGAAGAGCGACTCCTTGCGGCGGGTGTGCGGGCTCTCGAGCAGCGCGCAGAAGCCGTAGGCGGTGAGCGCGCGGGGCAGGTGCGGCAGCGACAGCGCTGCCTGCGAGCGCGGGTCCCAGTCCGTGTGCGCCGCGCTGTCTATTTCTGCTGCTTCGCTCCAGGAAACCCGAAGTGCAGCCAGGGCAGTGCAGGACGCGAGTCGTGGGGGGATGCAGAACTCGGGGATGCGGTCCGGGGTGAGCACGTTTGCGCAGGCGGCAGGAGTGAGGGCCGGGACTTGGTGCGCCCGACCCTGAAGAATCCCGTTCCTGCGTTCGGGACCAAAGCCGAGCCTCTCCAGGCACCACATGAGGCCGCGCGCGGGTGCGGAAATCCGAGCAATTCTGTGCCGGTGCTGATCGGCTTGCACTTTGCAAGGGTGCCCTAGTCAGAGGGAGCCCTGCGAGACGCAGCAATTCCCGTGTCTCTTCTGCTGCTTCAGGGGTGCTTTCTCTTGCCTCCCTGGAACGAGGCAAACTGCCACTCACGCTATTGCAAGCTGTGTTTCACCGACGGAAAAACCATCGTTCTTCTCTGGTCTCTAGGAGTCATGTACACTTCGGGGCTTGTTTTAATCTCGATCCTCCTTCGCTGGCCTAAAGCGGAGATTCTCAAAATGTTGGCTTCTAATGTTGGTCGCGCTGTCGTCAATGCCAAGAGGCGCTTTGCTTGGCAATCGCCTCTCGAATCCTTGGATGATTGCACTCCAGTCCTCAGCGAGAAATAAAATAATGATTATCCCTTCTAGGACTCACGGCTTGCGCCCAAGCGAGTCCCTCCTCGCGTACCTGGAGTCCGGTGTCTGATGGTTGTTTGCACGGTTCTGCCTGAAGCACCGAGCCGGTGAGGCGCGCCGCCTCTGGGAGGGCCAGAGCCTGAGAAGCCAGACTCACCACCGCGGTTCAAGGACAGCGGGTCTGAGCTTTTATACCCGGGGGCCCGGCGCGCTGGCCAATGGGTGGGCGCCAGAAGGGCTGCTCTGTAACCTGACGCCGGGGCTTCCGCCTTGCCAGGAGGCTAGGTCGACTGAGCAAGTTCAAGGCTAGAGCTCCTCACCCTTGCGTTCTGTTGGGGGTGTTCTTCTCTGAAACCCTAAACAAGTTTCCATTTCCTCACGTGCAAAGAGTGTTAAATGTTGGCTGTATAGTCATTGGGACGATCCGCCTGCATATGAATGTGAATGCACCCAACACTAAAAGAAGAGTCGTGTTTGGCTTATTCTTGCCCTAATATTATCCCCCTCCCCCAAAGACAGCTTTCGGAATTTCTTACCTGCTTTCTGGTTTTCGGTCTTGATTTTAAAAGTATTTCCTCTTTTAATTGTAAGCCACTCTGGGCACAGGAACCTTATGGGATGCTGAAAATAATTCCGATCTTGATCGGGTTGAGGTTACACACGTGTTTACATACGTTAAAAAATTAGTTGGCATACACTTAAGCTTGTTTATAAGATTGTATGTATCTTATACCTTAACTTTAAAAAATCACACCCCACTCCTTAAGCCATGGATGCTGAGTTTTATTGGGAAAATATACTCCTATGTACAATTGTGCCTTTGCAACCTTCCCTTTGGGGGCACTTCAACCACCTCTGACCGTTCTAGGCTGTATCCACCTGGGATACTCTTTCTCTTCCATTTAAAAATTCACCTATGTTCCTTCTGTAAGGGAACTGCTTCCAGCTAGCTCAGATTAAAAGAGATCTGAGGCATTTTGTTTAGCATTTGAGTGTATGCTATTTCTGCTTTAAGATATTGCCTTGGTAGTGAATTACCTCTCCAAATAATGTTCAGTAATTAAACAAAATAATGATCAGCGAATTGAATCCATCCAAAGGTGGTTGTAGGATGGGGCACGTGCATTTTGTTTCTAGGATAAACACACACAGCCCTGTGCTTGAGGATTTACAGAGAGTTTCCAGATAACTGTCACATAAACCTGCAACTTGTGATTATTCGTACTAACTTGTCAAGTTCACATAATGATGGGAAATTGAGGAAATAATACACATTAGTGGGCATAAATAATTTGCTTTGGGAATTAAATGAATTTAATAATGTAATATATTTAGCATTGTGCCTAGAACATGGTAAATGCTAAATACACAGAAGTGGTGATTATTAGGGGCGACTGGGTGGCTCAGTCAGTTGAGAAATGACTTCGGCTCAGGTCCTGAATCATCTTGTGGCTGGTATTTTCGAGCTCCACCTCAGGCTCTGTGCTGACAGTTCAGAGTCTGGAGCCTGCTTCAGATTCTGTCTCCTTCTCTCTCTGCCCCTCCCCCACTCACCCTTGGTCTCTCTCTCTCTCTCTCTCTTTCTCTCTCAAAAATAAATAAACATTAAAAAATTTTTTTTAAATAGAAGAGAGGCTATTGAGGGCTATGGTTAAGAAAATTGGGTCTAAAATCAGATCTTGTTTTGATTGTAGAATGGCTCCTTACTACGTGAACTGAGCGAGTTATGTAACCTTTCTAAGCCACAGGATCAAATGTACAATAGTAGGTTGGTCCTTTGAGAGGTAATGAAATTAATTATGGCAAAGAAGAGGCCCAGGAGAGCTCCCTCACCCCTTCTGATAATAATAGTTTGTACCTGTAGAGTTGTCATAAGTATATGATAAGATAATGCATACAAAGAGATTAGCATATAGCCTGACATATACGATGTCTGATTTTATATTTGTTGTTACTGTAGAAGAGAACAAATGTTCATTTATTCATTCAAAGCAATATTTACTGAATGCTTCCTGGATTTCAGCCACCCTGCTAGGCAGGTGGATCTGTGCTGGACAAGATCACATCAGCTATATACATCTATCAGAGGAGCAATGATGAAATATTTGAATTCTGTGTAACTGAGGCAAGAGTGAGAAGAAACTATTCAACAGGATTCATATACTTAATCTTGGTAGGGGAGTAGTGTTGGTGGGTCCCTGGCCTTGCCATGCCCTTGACGAGCTACTTCTTTGTCTTTATATCATCTCCATGACTGGCCAAGATTCTTGGGGGCAGTGCTAAATCTATGGGAGAATGATCACTGACTTATATACCTGAGGGTCACATGCATATGCTTGGACTCAACTTTTCCCAGGAGACAAGAGACTGTCAGCTCTGCAAGTGAGAGCCCAGAGAGCCCTTGGTTAAAATGGTGAGGCTCACAATCTGAGAAGCTGTTAAGCAAAGTTATGTTGTGGCGGGAGAAAGGAAAAAAAGCACCAGAGCATGAGAAATGATTTAGAGGTGAAGAAATATAGACTGCAGTAAATCTGTCCTAGGTTGAAATGTTATGCAACTTTTTAGCTACGGGACTGTGGACAAGTTAATTAACCTCTTTGAGTCTACGTTGTACAGTGAGGGTGACAATACCTATCATACAAGGCTATTTTAGGTGTTACAAATACATGAAGTGCCTGGCTATAGTAAGTGCCGGCCAACTGCTAGCTGTTATCATCATACAGGTTTGCTTAGCCAGAGATTAGCTGATTCACACTTGAAGTCCTTTAACAACAGTTTTCTTGGTGGCCAAGCAAGGCAGATATGCTTTGTTTTTATTAGCAATCCACCTTCTTCAGTGACACTTTAAAGGTATTTCCTGTATAAGCTTTCTTGAAAACAGCACGCATGACTTCCCGTGGCTGGTACTTACTCAGAAGCACGAGCCATGGAGTACTTGGGAAGACGGTGTAAAAGGGTCAAGCCCAGCGCCTGGAACACACAAATCTTTTTTTTTTTTTTTTTAATGTTTTATTTATTTCTAGGAGAGAGAGACAGCGCGAGCAGGGGAGGGTCAGAGAGAGAGGGAGCCACAGACTGAAACAGGCTTCAGGCCCCGAGCTGGCAGTCAGCACAGAGCCCGACGCGGGGCTCAAACCCACGAACCGCGAGATCATGACCTAAGCGAAGTCAGACGCTTAACCGACTAAACCACCCAGGTGCCCCTAGAACATACAAATCTACTCAGAGGAAGACTGTGGCCATTCAGGGCTCACGGCGAGAACCATGGCAACATCCAATAATGGTGCTCTAAAATAATTCTGTGAAGTAACCACGAATAGATCACATAGCATCCAGGCCAGAGTTGTTCTTGCGGTAGGAGAAAACGGAACAATATAAAGTAGACTTTAAAAAAATATGGGATGCCTGGGTAGCTCAGTCGGTTAAGCGGCCAACTTCAGCTCAGGTCATGATCTCACAGTTGGGGAATTCGAGCCCCACATCCGGCTCTGTGCTGACAGCTCAGAGCCTGGAGCCTGCTTCGGTTTCTGTGTTGGCCTCTCTCTCTCTGCCCCTCCCCTGCTTGCACTCTGTCTGTCTGTCTCTCTCTCAAAAATGAATAAACATTTAAAAAATTAAAAAAAAAAATTGGTGGCTGTGTGTCACAGAAAGCAAGAAAAAGAGAGTTTACAACCAAATAAAAAATACTGGTGTTCTGGCTTATTCTTCTCATTCAGTGAAGTAGAGTATGGAGCAAAGGAAAGAACAAACCAGGGAGTCAGGACATTGAGTTTAAAAAAAATTTTTTAAGTTTATTTTTGAGATAGAGACAGAGTGTGAGCAGGGGAGGGGCAGAGAGAGAAGGAGACATAGAATCTGAAGCAGACTCCAGGCTCTGAGCTGTCAGCACAGACCCCACGAGGGATTCATGGCTCAAACTCACGAATCATGATATCGTGACCTGAGCCAAAGTCGGGTAACTGACTGAGCCGCCCAGGCGCCAGAGGACATTGAGTTGTAGTTCTGACAGTCATTAACTTGTGGGATGTTAGCAAGTCTCCTAATTCTCTTTCATACTCACTGTCTCCATCTGTCAAATGAGGTGGTGGGGTTAGCCAGATTTATTTTGATTTCCTCTGGCTCTCAAATTCTGCAGTTCACTCCAGTGCTTTCTGCCAGCTAATCTTCGTAACTTTTCTGACAGTCCATGATGTTATGCTATTCTCTAGCTTTCTCCTCCGTCTTTCCCCCCACAACCCATTTTGCTTCTCTCAGTGAAAGGTTAGGAAATAGCATGTGGTTATGAGGCAGTGTGAAGTTAGAATTTCTTATTTTTCAGTTTTTAAGCAAGAGTTCTTAACTTTTAACAAGGATTTCCAATTTTGACTTCTGGTTTTTGTTGTTGTTGTTGTTCTGTTTTGTTTTAGAGAGAGAGAGTTTGACAGTGAGCCGGGGAGAGGACAGAGGAAGAGGAGCTGGAGAGAGGGCAGAGGAAGAGAGAGAGAATCTTAAGTAGGCTCCATGCTCAGCATGGATCCCCACTTGGGGCTCGATCCCATGACCCTGGGATCATGACCTCAGCTGAAATCAAAAGGAGAATGCTCAACCTACTGATTCACCCAGGTGTCCCTGACTTTAATTTTTTTTTAAGTTTATTTATTTCGAGAGAGAGAGA